CCCCCCCTGCCAATTGTTCTTTTGGCTATTTCTCAAAGTTATGCTTATGTCTTCTGTTCTCCCCAGTCCCTATTATATGTTTACATAATGCTCCCCTTTCTCCTCTCTGACACTTCATGGTGATATCCTTTTCATAACAGTCTAGAGAGATTTATGATTTCTCCAAGCTGGCATTTTGGGACCCATTTTTCTTCAACAAATCCTCTGCTAAACACAACTGAAGTGAGGTTGTGAACATGCTTTATAGTTATTGCCAGTGACATTCAGTTGTCAAAATAGTTGTGTAGTAGCTAGCCTTAAGTTTGTAGCTATCAGCACCTTCACCGCTGATTTTACTGACTCTGAGAAGATTTTAGAGTATTCCTTTTTACTTGTTATGTCCTTGCCTACAATATGTGTTTCTGCCAAGTCCCAGGTAAGTTGTATTGGTTTTGCTTGTAGCGTGGCAAAACCAGGAAACTGTCCAATTCCCTCCCCATCCCCTTCCACAGGAGACCGTAAACAAGGTTTGCACAGTATGAACATGATGGAGGCAGCAGCATCAGAGCCCTCATTGGACCTGGATAATCTAAAGTTGTTGGAGGTAAATGTTCAACTCGGTTTCTTAATCTTCAGTTTCATTCAATGTAACACTTACGGTCATATCACCTCCACAGTATAGTTACAGAAATAAGCGTATCAGTGGTCCTGTAACATTTTCTTCTAAACCACAGTTTAAAGAAGAAATTAAAAGAGAAAAGAGAAAAAAAGGTTTACCGCAGTCATGTTTTGCCTAGTTTTGTTAGTAATATTGTTGGTATTAGCTAGAACATGTTCTACCTTGAGAAGAAAATACTAAACACTGGGAGGTAATGGCAGAAATTGGAATGTGCTGTATTTCAGCATGACACCAAAAGATCCATCTTTTTGCTTGCCGCTGATTGCTTTAAGTACAGTATCCTACCATAGTAATTTGAAATGCTTTAGTAACAGCATTGGAATATAAAATTTACTGCAGATAGGGCAGTATATTTCAGTAGTGGTGCATTTATGTATAGTCATTCTTCACTGTGGGGTACTCTATCTCCATGGCAACTAGAGGCCAACCAGAACTTTCTACTCAGCTTGGTATAGATGTATCACCAGAAAACTGCAAAAATGTTATCCTTTCAGTTGATATGCTTGATAGAACTTAAGGAATTTTTAAAAGCCTTTAGCCAGAAATAAATCAGTAGAATGACAGAGAGATTCAGAGAGTGGTACTGTTCTTCTTTTTGCCCATTAGAAACCTCACCTAGAGTTGCAGGCTGCAGACATGCAGTGTGGTCTGGGCTAATGGTGACAGCAGACTAATCAGCAGAGAAGCTTGGGTGCCTTCTGCCCACAAAAAAGTACTTGAAGCAGAGTTTACAAGAGTATAAGGATCTATATTGTAGAAGTGTGCAAAACCCTAGGTGAAATTACTCATACTGATATGCAGTCTTGGAAAGAGCAGCGACTTTGTTAGTGGAGAAATCTGCTATGGGGACTTCTGTCCTCTTTCTTAAATCCTAAGGATCTGACTCCTCACCCCCAGTCATAGGGTGTTGCAGAACAAATTGCATTAACCTGTGCTTGCCTTTCCACATCTCTGTGCGTAGAATACATTCTGGGTTTGTACCTTGAAGTGACTCACTGCTGCTTTGCAATGCACTGACATGGAAGGACTGAGAAATGGAAAGTCTGTCTGTTAAAGGATACTTTATTGTTGAAAACTTTCCTGTTAGACAGTTGTATCATCTTTAGAAACATTACTTTTGTAATCCCTTCTGCTTTCCATTCCTCCTCCATTTGTAAGTGAAAAGTAAAAAGATACTGGTCCATGAAATCCTTACAGTTTCATGTCTAGGTCTTCCTGAAAATTATTTTCATTAAATAGTTGCTTAAATTCTTGTGTAGTTAGAATTTTTTGAGTTTTAGAAACTAGGACTCTTCATGAAGGTGTTCCTACATTTTGGTTTAGAGCAGAGATTGCATCTTTCTTCAGTTGCTATGGGGATGGGCAAAGCTGTTCTGTGAAGACTGTCTAACATAGCGGGGACTAGAATAAAGATTCACAGGTAGTAAGGAATTAATTATTCCTTTCTGTTAAAACCTGTTTACCTGTTTTGGTATCTATTTTGCACTACAAATGCATATATTGTTATTACTAACCTAAAAGGTACATCTTATAAAGCCTACCCTAAACCTAAAATGTTTAGCTTAATGTCTGTGATCTCTGCAGTTAATTAAAATTGATCACATAAAAGCTATAAATGTTTAGTAAGCAAAAGTTTAATAATTAGCAGCACAAAACACATGGATTTTATTGATTCTGTATATAAAACTGCTGAATAGGTTATTTATGATTTATTTACTGGATCAGACTATAGATCAATGTAGTAAGATCTAAGTTGGCCTGTGCTGAGGTTTCCGGCTCCAAAATAGCTTTTATGACGGCATTCTAATTCTAGTTTTCGATACAAAATATTCACTATATTCACTATTTTTTTGCAGTGTAAGTCAGTATAACAGTTGGCATGCAATTTTTGTAGAATGAAAACTTGGATTTTGTCTTCATTTATTATTTAGTGAACTAATTATTTACATTTTTTTGTAGTTGATTGGCCGGGGACGATATGGAGCGGTGTATAAAGGCTCCCTAGATGAACGTCCAGTTGCTGTGAAAGTATTTTCTTTTGCTAATCGTCAGAACTTTGTCAATGAGAGGAACATTTATAGGATTCCACTGATGGAACATGACAACATCGCCCGCTTCATTGTGGGGGATGAGAGATTCACTGCAGATGGCCGTATGGAGTATTTATTGGTGATGGAATATTACCCCAATGTAAGTGCTTCAAAGAAATCAATTGGATCGGTTTAGATTCCTGAGAATAGCCACATAAAAAGGATGTACTTTAGTATTTGCCTGTGTTTTTCATTGCTTCGTTTTGCACAGCAATGTAAAAATAATCCATATGAATTGCAATTTTAATGAACCTTAGTATGGTTTACTGTAATACCCTTTGAGATTTCCCAGTTAGTGCTAGCAAATATAGCCTTACAAATTCTTAGCTGTAGTATTTGCTCTTGGTTATGGTGCAGGTTTCTTTACTCAGCTGTGCAATATTCAAGGACAGAATTTGAAGACTTGTTTATACTTTAAAATAATTTAATAAATTTAAAACTTCTTAGTATTAAGACATTGTATCTCTGATGATAGTTATGACCGCACTCAGTAGCTGTAAATGGTGGGGTTTTTTACAATGAAACGTAATAGATCCAATATTGTTGTCAAACTAGTTTGTGGTACTATAAATCATGTTGGCTTTTTATCCTGTTATCTTCTTTAAAGCTTTCTGTGGCACACTGTATTTATTTTGCTGTACCATATATTGATGATGTAGAACAAGCCTTAAGAAGGCAGCCTTACTTTCCAGAACCATATCTTCGAATGTTCTTAGCTAACTGACTGCTTACAACTCTCAAATTCATTGATTTGAGTTCCTCATGCTCTGTGCGTGTGTGTGTACACACGCATAGAAACAAAAATGTTTTAAAAATACACAGCATAAATGTGAATTGCTTTCATGAATAATCATAAAATGTATATGGGGATTATATATATGAAAATGCAAAAAATTACATTTCACAATTTATCTTGGGGTTTTTTTTGCTTGTGTATGGGAAAGAACTTTAATTTGTCAGTTAAATAATTTTTGTAATGAGCATTTTGGTCTCAAGTAAGCGAACTCATATTGTGTTTCCTCCAGTGTGTAAAGGTGATGGCTGAAGCCTGATTTGTTATGGGGACAGTAGGACAGAAGCTGCTTATTCAAGTAGCAAAAAGAAACAGAACAGTAATAAATAGCAGTAACGACAGCCTGTCTTAGGGTGTTGTAGGCTCTACATATATGCTTGTGTTGAAAGTTAAATGCATATTTGTATATAAATATCTAAATATATATGCAAATTTAAGGCAACATAGCACTTTACAAATATACAAAGAATATCTTAATGGAAACTTTTAAGTGAAAACACACTTGATCATGTCAGTTTATAAGAGATGGGCATCTAAGAAGAGATTGCAGAGACTAGAAACGACCACAGAAAAAGCTCAGTCATGCCCATACCAGATGGACAGTGCCAAAGCACTGTCAGCTCTGTCCTGCTCTGGCAGAGTAGGCTTATTTTCAACTAATTTAGTTAAGTGAAGTCAAGCGATTATTCTGCTCCTGGGAGGGCATAGCGTAACTGTCTTAAAAAGTGATCTGGTTTTGCTGTTTTCTTGAATGAAAGGATTTTCAGCTGAAATGTAATTTGATTGAAAATTGTGTCTTGTTGCTTATATAAACACGATCTGTTAACAATCTGATTAAATACACAAATGAGACTTATGACATCATATTATCAGATTCTTTCTCAATATGGTATTAAGAACAGCAAGACTAGTCTAAAATCAATTCACTGGTGGTTTGGAAGTCATTGGAAGAAGTGCACAGCAGGTGTAATTAATGCACAGTGTGATCCTTAATGCAGTGAGCAGATGTTCTGCTGTATGTGGAGCTAACAGCAGGGAAGGAAGCCTGCTGTGGCAGCCCTACTAAAAGGGAATTGCACCGTTCAAACTGTAGCCATAAATCGTATTTCAGTAAACAGTAACCCATACAAGATGTGAAGGTGAAATACTGCCCATCCAAAACATCATTCTCCATCAAAATACTTGCCTTCTTGGAAATAGGAACACATAAACCAGAATGTTTTCACCTGGAAAATTGTTCTTGGTGTTGCCTGAGTGAAAGCAAGACAGATAGGTTTGACCCAAATTGTGTTATTACCTAAACATGCCTTCAGACCTAAGAAAGTAGGTGAGCAAGTAATAAAAGAAAAGATATGTGTATTTATCAACCAACATGCGGTTCTGATGGTACTCTGGGGTGTGGCAGGGGAATAAGCAGTGAGTAAGTTGAAAGGGATGACATAGTAGGAAATACATAGTAGCCACAGAGTTGTCCCCCCAGTAGTGAGACATTCATGTCTTTTTAGAACAATAGAAAAATTGTTGTAAAATGCATATAGAATCTTATGATTGTTAAAACAAGGACATTAATTTTATCAAAAGTTTTAATCAGAACACATGTCCCACATTGATAACATGTGACTTGCGACTCTGACAGGAATAATCTTAATTACAAATATATATCTCTCTAAATCTTGACTAAAACTTTTCCCGGTTGGCATTTATATTGAACTTCACTAAAAGCATAAAATCACAGCCCTCAGCTAGCTTAAAAAATACCTGGTAGCCAGCAAGCTCTGCAGCAGAAAGATCTTGAAGTTGGGTTGAGATCTTTATACAGTGAGTGTTTTCCAGTCACAGCATGACAACAGTCCTGTGGCCTCCATTAGAATGGGCTGGAATCTCAACCCACTAAGCCAAGAAAATCCGTTAGCGCACCCAAGTTGCTGACAGTTGGAGGTCAATAAGAGTGTTTGTATTTCTTAAAAAACTTTAAACAATAAGAAAAAAAAAAGTAAAATTCTTCAACTCATTTCTAGGTGGATTCTCAGCTTTTTTTTTTTTTTTTTTTTAAATTACCAAAATCTATTTGAAGTTCATGTAACAGCATTTTGGACAATGAAAAAAAATACTTGTGTGTAAACCTGTATGAGTGACATTTGGTCTGTGTTTTCACCGAGGAAGTTATCTATTTATGGGTTGCTTGTTCTGCACAGGCTAAGCCTGAAAAACTGTAATACTACTGTAATTCTATTAAGGAGTGTCAAGAACTTGGTTTTAGTTTTAGTATTGGATTAAAAAAAAGTCTAATGCTTCGGTCACTTTAAATTCTGATATCCGTGTACCTCCAACTGAACTGTGCATGTGTTACATACCTGAATGTCCACTCCAAATGGACTCAAATGGCTCATACTAGATTTTTTTGAACCAAATGTTACATAACTGAATTTGCAATAAAGTGGTTTTAGTTATGGCTATGATAAAATGTTAGACATTGCTACATCTTTAAGATTACAGATTTACATAGGCAAAACCAGGGTAGTTCGTAATCATAAATATATTGTAATATGTCTGCAGAGACAACTGGATGATTTATTCTTCATATATGGGGATTTAGTTTGTTTAATCTGAGTATATTGTCATTGGGGACTATATACGTAAAAAGTGCTCAAGGGTGTCATAGTTTGCAGGATCTGGCTTTTGTTTCAGATGGCAGTCTCAGTTTCTAGAATATCTCAGTATCATCATTGACACCCTTCCTTCTGGTTTTCTTGGAAATTCCACCTCAAATTACTAAAAAATCCCCTATTTTTCACATTTAACTCTTCTTTCAAGAAAACAGGAACTTCTTTTTGTCCTGTTTCTTCAGTGGATGTGGACTCGCCCCTATTCTGAATTGCCTTTGGGGTTTTTTGTTCTGATACATAAATAGATTATAGCAGGGGAGATGCCAGTGAGAGATGTTGAGTATTCTTCTGTAAGTGCTAATGGTTTAAAGACCATTATTTAGTAACCAGGCTGTTATGTCTGCAGTTACCTTTCTTCTTCTCCTAAATCAAGTGCATACTTTGCTTTTGTTTCTTAATTAATATCATTATTCCTAAAGGAAATCCCTGTTATTTTGTGATAAATTTTCTGTTCCACTTCTTTAGATAAACCAAATGGCAGCACTAGAAATGGATGAAACTTTGGTCCAGTCTTGTGTTTTAGAACATCTGGGTAAACATAGAAGCTGTTGCAGGATTACACCTTTGAGGAGCAATGGATAAAACTGACTCTCCTAAAGATTTTGAGTTATTCAACTGGTCAATTATTTTAATCCAATATTTTATTTTTTTTTTTAGGGTTCTTTGTGCAAATATTTGAGTCTTCACACAAGTGACTGGGTAAGCTCTTGTCGCTTGGCACACTCCATAACTAGGGGCTTGGCGTACCTGCACACGGAGCTACCTCGAGGAGGTAAGGCCAGGAAGGGATGCCAAGATGTTCAAGATACTCTTATTTCTATCAGGTAGTAGATTCCTGCCTTTCTTTTTTCTCTGTGACAGTACGGTGAGTAGGAAATTATGAATACAAATAGAGATTATTCAGAACTTCTGATACATTCTTTCTTCTGAACAATCCCGTATTGTGGGCTCTGTGACGCTTGTATGAAAACATGGAGTAAGTGCCAGCAGAGCCCCAGAGAAAGGCAAGAGGAGGCAGAGTTGTGCAGTGCTGCTGTATCATGGCAACAGATTACTGAAGACCTGAAGCACTGGATGTCTGTCTAGCTGAGAGCAAACAGATGGGGTGTTCTGTTTGTTTTTGTAGTTCAGACAGAAATCACCAAAGCAATTTTTAGTTTGTGTGCGAACTGTATACACAAAGAGAAATAATTAAATCTTCTAACTCCACTGTAGTTTTATTCATCATATCTCTTTGGTTTTTGTCTAAGGATGTGGGCCCAGTCTTTACTGTGTACAAATGATACTGCTGGACTTTTAGTGTTTTATTAGAGCACCAGATATGACAACATATTGATTTATATCTTTATATCTCTGCTTGTGTGCTTCAGTCAGCATTTCTGCAGCTGAAGTATCATGATTATAAAGCAGGTATTCTGAGATCTGTGATGTATCAGACTGTAGAATATGGCCTGGCACTGAAGCATTAGCTTTTTGGCAGTAAATAAAAGGATGGTATCATTAATTCTACGTTAAGGTGCTAATGTTTGGATTAAAATTCCAGACTATGTATCTCAAATGTTAAGCATCAACTCTAGCAAAGAATGATAATTGAAGATGCTGTTAAAAGTGCAAGGCTGAAAATACCTAAATCAATATTCCTGTGTGCCATTGAAACTGCAGCTATCATCCTAACTTCATCGTTTCAAAATGTGCAGACAGGTGTGTCCATTAGCAGCCAGAAAATGTGTAAACCTTCCGTCATAAAGAAGAGACAGCCATGGGCTGGTCTATGAATGCTGGGAAGGAACTCACAGAGTAGAATAAATCCTACAGTAAAACTGTTTCTGTAGCACTGGCTGCTTTACTAACAAAATAAATTGCATATAACTAGGAACAACTGAGATTATTCTTTGGAAAAGATCAGATCCCTTGTAAGATGAACATATTCAGACTCTGGAATAATATTGTCTACATATCTTCTGAATAGGTGCCAATTCCAATCATAACGTAAATAGTTGGTGCCGTATTTGACACAGGAGTGTGGATATGAGAGAGCGCATTTGGAATGGCTGTCAGGACTGTGGCAGCAGGTCTGTGCTTAAGTACACAGTGTCTCCCCTGCCAAAATCAGCTGAAATATCCCTTGGGAAGAAGCTTATTGGCAAACGCTAAAACTGTGTATAGCAGTAGCCTAATATATTGTATAGATACAGTGAAACTCTGAATGCTGGTCAGTTTTCTATAGATAGAATACTGTGGAGCTCGTTATAAAGAAGCAAAAATGTTAGCTTTCTAAAAGATAAGTTGATTTTCTGTTTATAATAGCTGAGCAGACATAATGAGGTTCTCTCATTTTGCCAAATGGTAGAACTGCTCAAATAGTAACAAGCACTTCCATATGTCCAACTAGACCATTACAAACCTGCAATATCCCATCGTGACTTGAACAGCCGCAATGTACTGGTAAAGAATGATGGAACATGTGTAATTAGCGATTTTGGACTCTCCATGAAGTTAACTGGAAACAGACTGGTACGCCCAGGTGAGGAAGATAACGCAGCCATTAGTGAGGTAAGTACAAATGAAGATAAACCAGTGTGTAGAGGAAGACAAATTAGTATGGAAGTAACACTGAGAAATAGTTGTTTCTGTTGTTACAAGGTGTATGTTAAGGTGGTACAGTTCCTGTAAGGGGGAATTGCTGCAATATGGGTGAGAAGTGGCTGAAACCTTGATAGGAAGAAACTGATTTCATTCTCAAAGCACTCAAAAACAAACCTAGCATTTTGAAAGGTGATAGACTGGCAGCCCTGGAGACTGAAATTTTCTGTGTGAGACATGAGGAGATGCAAGGTAAGTTTAGTTGCCAAGTTGTTCATGATGATGTGGTACAGGTCCCTTTAGTCTTGCATTGCAAGTATTAACTGAAGACCAAGCATTCTTTAGTGGTTTTGGTGTTAATTTTTCCAAAATGGTGACATACCGCGTTGTACATCCAACAACCATTTCTCTGTGTGTCATCTGCAATTTTCTAGACTTCAGATGGATATATCTGGGAGAGTAAGTGCATGTAGAAAGACATGGACCAACTGAGAAAGAACAGGGACAAAACAACAAGGGATGCTTGAAAGAGTACCTTGTGGGAAAAGATGAAAGAATGAGGGTTGTTTAGGGAAGTAAAGACAGAGACAGATCTTCAAATATGTAAACAGCTGCAACAAAGAGAAAGGAATAAACTGTTTGCATTCAGTGTGGATAGGACAAGAGGTAATGGGATTACATTGTAGGAGGGAAAATTTGGGTTAGTTAGGAAGAAACCTTTCTAATCTGTAGAAGGTAGCCGAGGTCTGGAATGGACTGCTGAGGAAGGCTATATAGAATTTGCATCATTTTATGAATTTAAGGAACAGATTGGGAAAACATCTGCTAGGAGTGGGTTAGGATGGATTCTGGGCAGAAAGAAGAAACTGATTTCTTAAGCTATTTTTTTTTATGATGCTGTGATTCAGAGACTATTTTTTTGTTGTGGTTTCTTTTTGTATAAGCATAAATACACTGACACCTGAATATAGACTACTGAAATACAGTGAGACTATTTTAAATAAAGAGTGAAAGTCCCTAATGATTCAGTATATTTGTTGTCTTTGTGCTTTTACAGAAAACCTTTACATCTCATTCAAAGGGTGTGTTTCGCAGTGCTAATCACCTTCCCTTAGAAAGGAAGTGCTACATTACATTAGTAATAACTAGTGCCCCGGTCTTCTTTGTAGATTTCCTGTTACTGAAGAAAGAAACAGGGAGATCACTGTTTAAAATGCAAGGATATGGAATAGTCCTGTGACAAAATACTGTCCTACAAGTACTGATGAGCAGTTACTCTAATCTAACATATGTCGTAGTGGAAATTAATAGATATCTTCCAAGGCTGTTAATAACGTTTGACCATGGAAAATGTAGGCAAGAGCCTTGCTGACAGTCCAGGAATAAAGAGAACAAGTTCCTTGTTCAGCAGCATCCTCTTCCATTGTGATACATACCTTGGTGTTTAACAGAGTAATTTCAGGAAAAAGAAACATTTCTGCTATATCCTGTTGCATATGAGAACATTGAGTAAGGGACAAAATTATTTTGTTTTGGTACATACAAAAAAGTTAGGAAGTAGGGGAAGGGTTTTGTTATGACTAGGCTCCTGGTAAGAGTCTAGAAGCTGAGGATATTGATTAGAAAAGAACTGCATTTTCCTTAACTGTAGAAAATATCAGACAAAGTAGGGTATTAAAAAAAAAAAAATCTCCATAATAAATTGAATTTGGAAATATCTTCCTGATTTGAAGCTTTGATTTTATGTTTTTCCAGGTTGGTACGATCCGCTATATGGCCCCAGAAGTGCTTGAAGGAGCAGTGAACTTGAGGGATTGTGAATCTGCTTTGAAACAAGTAGATATGTATGCACTAGGCCTCATCTACTGGGAGATATTTATGAGATGTACAGACCTCTTCCCAGGTAACTAGAAGAACTGGAAAAAACATAATAGCAGAAAGTGGTACCAGCAACCAAAGCTACTCCCTAGCCATAGCTTTTTAAAGGGAAGAGGGGAAATAATTTTCTCAATTGTTTTTGCCATTAAGTCGGTGCCATCTAGCGTTCAAGATGATTATGGTCAATACAGTGTATTTGAGTGTGGAGCATGGTTCATGCTGAAAGACTTTAAATTACCTGTTTAAGCAGTTTGCAGGCTTCATGGTAAGTGCAATTTGCGGATTGCTATTATTATTGCCCAGAGTTTACAAACATTGAGAGTTGCTGATGGCAAAGGCAGTACTTCCACTTCTTAGAACTGATAGAAGTGCTTGATGTGTCTTTCAGAATTCCCTCATGAAAGAATGGATGGGAAAGTGCTGTGATTTAATGTAGCCTTTAGTCAGTTGTACTTTTACTTATGCTAGTGACATGGAAAATTGAGGGAAGTCCTCCATAATTGTAACATAAAACAAGAAGTAGACTTTTAAAATTTAACGCGTGAGATTGTGTCACAACTACCATCTTCTTCCCAAGACATAGCATATAGAGTTAATCTGACATGCAGCATTCTCTCTGCGTCAAACAGCTGCACTTTGTGTGCAGAGAATGGTAATCTCACTGGGCTTTCTCCCAAATGAAGTACATGGATGTATTCAGTCAGCAACGTTTCACAGAAATTAGGTGTAATCCTCAGGCTCCAAGACATTCTGAATGTGCCACTCAACCAGCAAAGTTTGAAGATGCTATCCTTTGAGAGGTTGCTGAACAACACTTAGTTCATTTGCAGTTAATTCATCTTTTTTTGTGAAGTTAGACTTTGGGGGGAAGTGGAGAACATCTCAATTGACAGCAACTTTGATGCTGCCTTTCATCACCTGAAAGCCCTTGCTCTGCCTTTTAGTCTGTGACTTTTTTCTTTCTTTCTTGTGGCAACAGGGGAATCTGTGCCAGAGTACCAGATGGCTTTCCAGACAGAAGTTGGAAACCATCCCACTTTTGAAGATATGCAAGTCTTGGTGTCTAGAGAGAAGCAAAGACCAAAATTTCCAGAAGCATGGAAGGAGAACAGCCTGGTGAGATAGAATATTTTCAAAGAAACAATCATTTAACCAACTATAGGGTGTACTTCTTAAATGCAATTTTTGAATACGTTCTTTTTTTTTTCGTTTTTGTTAGTATTAAAGGATTGGGAGCTGCTTCTGTCTGGACTTCTTAAATATTGAATTCAGTTTTTAAAAAGCCATTGACATGAAAGCTAGATTTCTTTTAAGGCAAATACTGTGATTATTATCAGATGCTGAAGTGTGATACACAGAAGATAACTTGTTATATTAATTTTTAGACAGTATCTGTAGTATTATGCATGAAGTGCCTATATGTTCTCTGTATGCTGGATGAGAAACATAAAGGCATTTTCTGCCTTTTGACGTCTTATAAACTAATAACACTCTAAAATAGTTGGCAAAAATGTAAATATACTCTTCCAAAACTAAAATCTGTAAACATTGTAATAAACTTTCTCTGAAGTTATATAGTCCTCAGAATTTGCAGAGGCTACAGCTTCTAGCAATCATTTCATCATAACTGCATTAGAAATTTTATATGGCTTCATTTGATCTGCGATTTTTATTTTCAAGACTATAAACATAACAATGTTGTTTGTTGCTTTGAATTAGTATAGCTATGGCTTAGAACCTTGCCTGTTGCTGCAGGCCAACAAGTTACGGCAAGTCAGCTGAACTCTGGTAAGAGTCTGTGTGCTTGCTTTCATCTGCAGTGAAAGTGAGGTAATGCAAATCCCCTTAGTTTGGGGGGGGTTGTTTGTCTTTTATTACAAGCAAAATGAAATGCAAACAGTTATTGGGTTCCACCTGATACGTGGTAACTTGTTTAAGCTAAAATAGCTTGATTGTGAGTATGAAAATGACATATTTGACTCTTATTTAAAAAGATACTTCTAGTTATTCCCTCACTGAAATTATGCCCTTCAATCTTCAAAGACTTAGCTAGTTGATAAGTATGTAGCTACTGTGCAGATAATGGGGAGCCTAAGGCCTCATCTGTGCCAGTACTTGTAAATATGTATGAAACCATTTTCACAGAGAAGCATGGCCTCCAGTATTAACACACTTGTAGAACATGTTGTAACTGAGTTGAGAGCTTCATAGAGAGGTTCTTCTATTACACAGTTTTGGCCAGCTAGTTTTTTTCGGGGGGAGAAGCAAAATAATCCATGGTCTATATAGGAAATCAAGCAGCAACTGTTTTTACTATAGCCATGTTGGCAAATGCAGTGTTGGAAGAACCAAGCTTGACAGCTGTTTTTGAAGACAGTTACAACTAAAACAGTTCAAGAAGGTTTGTTTTGTTTTACAGACTACCATTTTAAATGTTAATTATGTTCTAACAAGCTGATAGGCTCTAGCATTATTAGACGATCTCCATATTTAAACTGCCTAACAGATTCTTTGTGTTGTTACTCATTTTTGTGCAAAAATTCAAAATAATAATAATGGTGATAAGTCCAGTTCTAAAGATGGACCTACACCATTGCTTTAAGAGAAAAGAAGAATAAATAAACAATCTGTAGTTCTGTCATGGGTGTCAACCAACCTATTCCACCCTATGGCAGTCTAGGACAACAGCTGAATGAGCACTCTAGGGGAGGTAGTGCGGAAAGCTAAGGTCCAGATAACCTCACTCTGGACCCAGGTCCTGACCTCCTGTATCTAATGCATAGCATAAAAGACTTTTTTCCATTATTTAAAGCTATACTGACTTGTTGGGTTATAACACCTTCGTGCAACTTCATCTATTAGAGAAATGTATTTGCCCTTTTTATTTGAGAAATACGAATAAAAAGCAACGATTTATTTTTTAGGTCACATAATTAAGGCACTCAAAAGATGTGGAATCCCGGATTTATGATTACCTATGCAGTCTCAGTCTGCTTCTTGAACATATGTGTTATGATACAGACCTTGACTAGCAGTATTGTTTTTCACAGTATAGATCAACAATCTGAGCAGATGATGTCCATAAAGTCATTCAAGGGCTATAAACTGAGTTGAGGTGTTAGCAGCATTCTTGTCTCATTTGCCAAAGCCAAAGCAGGGCCCAAGCTTGACTTCAAAGGTCAGTACTGAAGGATATTAATAGAATAATAGAATAATGCAGATTTCCTGTCCCTTCTATTTTTTTTATGAGTGCTAGAACTTCTAAATAATGCATTTTAGTGTAGATCTCTTTGAACGTGAAATTAATAGAAAACACATTACTGTGGTAAATGTGAAGCTCTAGAACTTCAGTTTTATTAACTATCTATACAGTCATCACTGTGCTCCTTTCATGATCCTTAAAACACCAAAAGGAAAGGATCTGCTAGAAGACAGACAATATTAAATTAAACACTGCTGATGAAACCGGTAGGGGAGAGTCTTACAAAGGGGCAAGACAGGACATTAGGGTGTCCACTGGCTTAGATATGTCTAAATTGTGACTAAATCAAGGCCTAAAAGCTGAATGAAGGTTTTTTATTCTGGGAGAGAAAACAGATCCAGTACACTGTTCTGTCATTGTCCCTGAGGGTGCTTTTAGACTCATGTCCCTCAACTAAGAGGGGTGTAGTTGCTTAGCCCCTCTTCGATCTACTATGGGAAGGGAGATCAAAGGTTTGCTTGTGTGGGAGCTCATCCCCACCTGTGCAGCCATAGCTGCATCGCTAAGCAGCAGTGACTTGCCAGATGCAGGCGATGCCAGGAGCTCACTCTGTGGGCGAGGAGCTGTTGGCTAGCGTGCAGAGCTAGTCCTGGCTTTCACTGCCAGAAGTGAACAAGGCAGTCCTGGCACAGCAGCAGTCAGCAGGACCCACTGAATGCCCTAAGGCCCAGCTGGGACTGTGCGCAGTCATTGGCACTGGAGAGGTTAAAGTGGGCTGTAGATGCGAGATGTTCTGGCAAACCGTATCCTATCCACGGGCCATAGATAGGCAGCAGGGGCCAATGCATGTCTGCCTGTTTTTTGTATTCCGGATGCAGTGGAAGCAGAAGTGTTCAGTGCTCGTAATTTCAGTTGTCTCCTCTCCAGGTCTCTGACCACATGGCAGCAGATTTTGTAGGTCTTGAGCTCTAATCCTGACTGCACCATTCACCCCACAGTGTGATCCCAGGAAAGTGTGTCTGTTTCTGTTTCTCCATCTGTAAAACGAGGACAGCAATAATCTCCTCCCGTAGCACAGACAAATTCACTGGTATTTATGAGGCATTTGGATGTTATAGTAGTGAACAGAGGAAGAAAAGCATAATGAAATGAGCAAGGCTGTGTTATTTGCATACAGTGCAGGAAAGCAAGGCAGGGACCGTTAGCTGAATTGTGAGGACAACAATGACAGCATTTCCAAAGTATCGTCAGTCCTTAATACACAGCTTTCATAAGGCAGGGAGAGTGAGCTGAGCATGCATACATCAGGCAGGGTGGCTGAATATTGTATGGACATTGGTGAATGTAGCTTTTCTGAAGTAATCGTCTTCCCAGTTGGTGTGTGTGTGAGGTATGGTAATATTAGTCCTGCATATTGCTGTTATTAGGGCAAACTAGGTTTGAACGAAATTGCGTCTCTTCTGTTTCTCTCTCTCACCAGCTTGTGACTATTTTCATGCTACAGAATGCTGTCATAAAACAGTAAATTAGAAGCACAATATAAAGGGAAAATTTAAGATAAAGGGGGTTTGTTTGTCTCTTGGCAGGCTGTGAGGTCACTTAAAGAAACAATTGAAGACTGTTGGGATCAAGATGCTGAGGCTCGACTGACAGCGCAGTGTGCTGAGGAGAGGATGGCAGAACTCATGATGATTTGGGAGAGAAATAAATCAGTTAGTCCAACAGTCAACCCTATGTCAACTGCCATGCAAAATGAGCGGTAAGAAGAGAAAACATTTGGTTTTAGTCAGCAGCAAATGCCCAATGCAATGCTGAGCTCCCTTCAGGAAGGAAACTAGAGCATGCTGCTAGCTTAACATTTCTGCACCCGTGAAGTGGGTGTGTGCTACGTGAGCTAGTCTGCATATGGGTATTGTATGACATGATCCCGATTGCTTGTGTTTTTAAGATCTCCCATGTATCCCCAGAATTCAGGCACCTTTTATGTAAACTACTGTACTTCTCACAGAGGGACCTTTTAAACTGAACTTAGGCAAACTGTCTAAACAGACTTGCAAAGATACAAAGTCACCATGAATTGTCTGTAAAGACTCTTGCTAAATGATGCATAAAATTTGTGTTTGAAGTGTTCTGCTAAAAACTGAATTTGCAGGCAATATGAGTTGAGGAAATCTCAAACCTGTAGCTTTTCAGTTAAAGAACTGCAGGGCCATCATTTAAATCATCATTATTCTCACCACAGGGAGAGAAGTGCTGCACATTCTCTGCTTACATATGATCCAGAGGGAGTGAGAATTTGCAGAAGTGACATTAGTGCTTAATAGTACACACTAGAGATCTGGATTTGAGAGAAGTGTAATGTTGCTGTGTATGGCAGTGTTTATTGTCATGAAAAAAATTAAGTTCAAATCATAGAATAACTAAATTGTTAAAATAGTAGATTTTTCATGGTTTAGGACCTTGTGACTTTTTCCCAGCATCACTTTCTCCATCTTGTGTGTCGAATTCTTGTTGCCCTCCTTCAGCATCACTTCTCTGCAACTAGAGCAGTACCTTAGCAGTGAACTGGACGAACAGCATGTTGGACAAATAGAAGAAAAATACTGTTATCCAACTTAGTTGTATGAATAACATCCGTGACAAAGTTGCTGTGCTAGTAAACCAAATTTTCTGCTACCCAGGATTTTTCAAGGAAGTTACTGAAAGATCTGAGTTTGTGCTGTATCTGTCCTTAGTTTATGCATGAAAAGAAACAGAAAGACATTCAACTTTCGTAAATGAGAGGCTTTATAATATGAGGTGATTTTTTACATATATAATCTTAATATTACTTATTTTTTTTTAAAGGAATCTGTCGCATCATAGGCGTGTATCAAAGATAAGGCCATATCCAGATTACTCTTCTTCTTCCTACATTGAAGATTCAATCCACCACACTGACAGCATAGTGAAGAACATTTCTTCTGAGCATTCAATGTCCACTACACCATTGACTTCAGGGGAAAAGAATAGAAACTCCATCAACTATGAGCGACAACAAGCGCAAGCTCGCATCCCTAGTCCTGAGACAAGTGTCACCAGTTTGTCCACTAATACTACCACGACCAATACAACTGGCCTCACTCCTAGCACTGGTATGACCACCATATCTGAAATGCCTTACTCGGATGAAACAAACTTACATACTACAAATGTCATGCAGCCAGGTGGGCCCACCCCTGTTTGTCTGCAGCTAACAGAGGAGGACTTGGAGACAAATAAATTGGACCCAAAAGAAGTGGATAAGAACCTGAAAGAAAGCTCTGATGAGAATCTGATGGAACATTCACTTAAGCAGTTCAGTGGGCCAGATCCACTCAGCAGCACTAGTTCCAGCTTGCTTTATCCGCTGATAAAACTTGCAGTAGAGGTGACAGGACAACAGGACTTCACACAAGCTGGCAATGGTCAAGCATGTTTGATTCCGGATGTCCCATCTGCTCAGGTCTATCCTCTACCCAAGCAACAGAACCTTCCGAAGAGGCCTACTAGCCTCCCCCTAAACACCAAAAATTCAACAAAGGAGCCACGGTTAAAATTTGGTGGCAAGCACAAATCAAACTTGAAGCAAGTGGAAACAGGTGTTGCCAAGATGAACACTATCAATGCTGCAGAACCTCATGTTGTGACAGTTACCATGAATGGAGTGGCTGGGAGAAGCCACAGCATAAACTCTCATGCTGGCACAACCCAATATGCCAATGGCACAGTGCCGTCTGGCCAGACAACCAGTTCGGTAGCGCAGAGGGCCCAGGAAATGCTTCAGAACCAGTTCGGTGGAGAGGATAGTCGGCTGAATATTAATTCAAGCCCTGATGAGCATGAACCCTTGTTGAGGCGGGAGCAGCAGGTTGGCCATGATGAAGGTGTTCTGGACCGCCTAGTAGACAGGAGAGAGCGACCACTGGATAATGGCCGAACAAATGCCAATAACAACAACAGTAATCCGTGTCCAGTGCAAGACACAGCTACAGTCAGTATCCAGAATGTAGTGAGAAATCCTGGGCAGACCCAGGCTAGAAGAGCACAGAGGCCTAATTCGCTGGATCTGTCAGCCACAAATAGTTTGGATAGCAGTAGTATGCAGCGTAAGTTCCTGCAGGACTTGAACAGTTTCCCAGATGCTTTTTTTACTTAATGACTATGTATATCTGCTTGAATAGAAAATGCTTCTGTCTCTCCTGTCCCTCCTCAAAGCATGCTTACTAAATCCCATATGAATTTAATTTCTATCAGTACAATTTCAATCTTCTTGATAAAGTCCTGTCTCAGTCAACTCCAGCACATGTTAGGTCGCTATCTTCCTTCCACATACGTGGAATAAATCTGTCCCTTTATACCCTGTCTACTCTGACTCTAGGAGGGGAGTAATTTCTAACTTTCATTATTCCTTGCAAGGCTCCTACCTTAGCAGCTGCAAAGCATATTGAAAAAGCTTCCTATTTGTTCCCTCAGGGGCACATTATACCTTCTTTTCCTTACTTTTCCTCATTCTCTTAAGAGTAGCTGACTCTAAGATGCATTGATTAAAATAATTTGTTATAATAACTACTTATATGTTTTGTTACTTTTAAAGCAACTGATTTTACTGTATTAGCCCAGCCTAGACAGAGGGTCGGGCATTCTTTACTCTGCTATCTGAGCTCCAACAATTATAGCAATCCTTTGTCAGTTTACCATGTACATATTAAAAATTAATCAAAGTAGTTAAAGAGGGAATTGATTTTAATAGACTCCTTCAAAATTAACTGCCTTAAGAGTTTTATGGCCAAAGATCTAAGAGGTTACAGTGGGGCTCTCCTTTTTACAGCAAGAATGTAATCATGTAGTTACAGTTAAATTAGGTACATCCTCTGAGTTTGACTTTGGGCCTGTTGGAGCTGTTGGAAAGGCCTCCTAGTGTGCATTTTTAAGAGAATATATTTCCAGAATGCACTGTAGTCTTTGAAAGGTGCTTGCAAACCTCTGTGTTTAGACAGATGCTGTGATACTGGTGAAATAATCTAGGGTGCCAGGCATGGAAAGAAAAGGTTTAGAAACAAACCAGAACAGATCTTTCAAGAAATGTAGTTGAATATTCAGCAGTGGAGTCTTTAAGCCTTCCTTTTAAGTAGGAAACCTTAATTTTTGTCCTAACATGTTGAATTGAGTTGAAACCTTATTGAGGTAAAGAAAAAAGACTATTGCAGTAACTTTCTTTAATTGAAGGTTAAGTTAAAAGAAAGAGCTTGAAGGTTATATAAAGTAAAAGATTTTTTTAACAATCAGATTTCTGCTGCTGAAATTTTGTTATGATTAATGTTGGTTTTGCCAGTTTTGCAACCCAACATCCCAAATGCTGACTTAGGATCTTAACAGAGAGTGGACCATTTTGTCTTCAGGTGAAATGCTTTGCCAGGTGAAGTAGGATTAGGGGACCTATGATTTACTTATGCTATTTAAAGTTTAGCCTTTGCCGTCCTGTAGTAGCGACATTTTTTTGTACCTCCCATTGCAGGTAATGTAAGATACTATGATTGCAAAAGCCCCTCAAATGTCAAATGCTGATTCTGCTGTTTGATGCCAATGTGCATTCAAGGTAACACAAATTACTTCACTGAAGTAATTTCTGACAGAACAGAATCTGACCCCTTGTTTTAGTGGCAGCTACTGTAGCTGATATACCTGTCATGTCTCTGCCACACAGTTGCTTTTGTGTGATAAGATTTTGTTCTTTTGTTCTGTTTTGCATGAGTAGCAACGCTGGACTCTCCAGTCTGATCTTACCTTCCTTGTAACACTATTTTCTACTCTGTTTTTGTTTTTTGTTTGTTGTTTTGTTTTGTTTTGTTTTTTTCTTTTGTGTCTTCAGTAGGTGACTCCTCACAGGATGGCAAATCGGGCTCAGGAGAAAAGATCAAGAAACGTGTGAAAACTCCATACTCACTTAAGCGGTGGCGTCCTTCAACGTGGGTCATCTCCACCGAACCGCTGCACTGCGAGGTCAACAATAATGGCAGTGACCGGGCAGTCCACTCCAAATCCAGCACTGCTGTTTACCTTGCAGAAGGAGGCACTGCCACCACAATGGTATCTAAGGACGCAGGAGTGAACTGCCTGTGAAATACTTTAAAAGCCGACAAATGACCTTGTTTTTGCATTATTTGAAACAAACATGCAGAAGACATTTTAAAAAACTGCTTTCTCCTCCTGTCAGCAACCCCTACCAAGGACTCGCTTTAAATAGATTTCAGCTATGCAGAAAATTTTTAGCTTATGCTTCCATATTTTTTTATTTTGTTTTATTTTTTGAATGTTTTTGCACTTTTATTTAGTATCGCTAAAGTTAAGTCTGTCTGTTTTGACCACGGAATATATATATGTGTATCAAAAATGTGGTCTCAAAATATTTTTTTAAAAAAAAGTAACAAAAAAAAGTATTGCTGATAATCAGTTTGGACCAGTTTCTTAAGGTCACTAAGATCATAAGCAGATTAATAGACAGGTTTGACTGCAGTGGTGTCTTGTAACCATGTTTTGATTTCTGTGCACAAGCTAGTCTGTATATTTCTATGTTACAAAGTGTATTCTCTTTTGAACCCCCTATTTTTCTTGTGTCAAGTTGAAATGTGCAATAGTCTATAGTTCACAGTATGCTTTATTGGAAAGTGTGTTTCTAAAACTGCCACATGTTCCCCTTTTTGTATTTGTTAATTTTTCCCTGAGAGTTGAGCAGTCAGCCAGTCATGACAGTGAACTTTGGACATCATAGCCAGCTTGAAGCAGCTGTCTATATCACCTTGTGCTTTGAGGTGACAATGCATGAATTTTCCCCAACTTGAAAGGGCTTTTAAAAAGGAACAAAAAAAATTCTGAGCTCAGTACCTTTCCTTTGATCCTTCCAAATCAAAATGTGTTTCCTTTATAGTACTAGATGCCAGCCTGTGAAGTTCTGAATAACAAAATGTTGAACAAATGTAAGGAAACAATGTCAGCCATTTTTTCCATTTTGTGTGCCGTTTCACCCCCTGTATTTATGTAAAACCTTATTTAGATAGCTAATGATGTACATTGAAAGCTCTAGTGAAGATAGGTTGCGAACATATTTTGTTTACACAGAGGAAAAATCATGAATCTTACTTGGCGCAAAACAGTTTTGTGATGAGTCACAAATCTTTCCTGATTTACTTCCTTACAGACAGTCTGGGGTAAAATCAGCCTGATTACTTACGCAGGGAGGTGCGTCCTAATTGACTGTTGTTGCTGAGTTGAGTTGAAACTTGTCCTCCCTTCAGAGTTTTTAGAGCCCCTCATTCATCTTGTTAAAATTTATTGCATGCTTTTAAAATTCATGGTCGTGAGTGTTTCAGGGGGAGGGTTGGGATGTTTTTTTTCCCTCTGCTTAGACTCTTCTTTCAGTTTGTAGGGACATTGATCTTAGGTGTCGGTGAGCATGAATGCAATATCTATTGAGATAAATTGTTTTTTCACCATCTCAAGTAAACCTTACCTTTTTTTAGAATGATTGTTTTTACTGTCTACTGAAAGAAAATTAATTTCCTTATTGGTCAGGACCTCCTTCCACCTAAGAAATATCCTTCCACCTCAGAAATATTCTTTCTGATTGAAAACACTTCAGTAAAAACTATTTAGGTAAAAAAGATATAACAAATGTCAGTCTTTGGTACTGAGTAAAGTTTTAACACTTTATCTGAAAGCTGGTGATGTTCAAAGAAAGAAAATCTATTCAGTCAGCCTGCCAAACTCCTGTGTCAGGATACTGGCAGCAGACAATTGCCTTCCCCAGCCTGTCTCCTTTCAGCTGACTGAAACAGATGCTCTGTGCTTTCAAGCTCATTAGTTTCCTTGCTGTTATTATTTTTTCCCCCTAAGGTAGACTTTGCCAACCCTGTTCTTCTATATCTGATGGTACAACTAGCATAATATATGCCTTGCTACATCTGATTCTTGCTGTTTCCCAAACTCCTTTGTTTATGCTTGACTGCTATGATTTTCTCTTGTAATGCTTCTTAATGTTTCTTAGATTCTCCTAGATATCTCCAAGAGATAACTCTATAAATCCAGACTTTGATTAAGTGTAGTTGTAGAAATAGAAGCCATGAGACACATTTTGGGCTCCCTATGTTCTTTAAGCACCAGTTCAAGTAGTACCTTTCATCTCTGAGGCATAATTCTGTTATCCGCCTGTATAAATACACAGTTATATCTCCCCTCTTCAAAAATACAGCCTTTCTCTAGTTTTATTTCACTCTCCGGCTTCCCATCTGCTGCAATCTCGCATCCCAGATGTTGAAAACCTGCCAGTTGCTCAGCTGGGTTTCAAGACCGGAATCAGAATTTTTGGCATTCTGTTCATAATGCTGGCTATGGTTTTCTTCTCTTTTGGCCTTCTTTGAGTCTCCATTTGCAGTATGGTATGTTGTTTTGTGATCATTGCTGTATCATGCATATTGAAGATTCTTCACTCCTTTCCCAATGACATTTTGCTTTTCCTTGCATGTATCATCCATCAGCGTTTCAGAATGTGGGCTGAAGAGCGTATTTAGGACACTCATCTAACTTGAAACGCTCTGGGGAGAGAAGTGTTTGCTCTGACTGCTGCTTCTTTCTGCTAAGACAGATTTGCACCAGTCTTCTAGCCTTTCTTTTCAGGCCAATCCTTTGTAAGAAATCTAACTTTTTTATGCTCAGTGCAATCAAAATAATTTTAATACCAGATTAAAATGTTCTGCAGTTTTCCTTAAACATTCTTAAAGCAAACAGAATAGTTTCGTTTCTCTTATCTACTTCTATCACTTGCTGGAAGGAAGGCCTTTGGGATGAATTATAATTAGTAGAAGGCTTTGTAATCTACCATGGATAAATATAATTTGTAAAATGATAGAAATATGTACCTTATCACAAAATACCCTAGAAATGAAATAGAGAAAAACTATTTCTTTTTAAAGGTCAGTCAAAACAAACTCTTAAGTAGGTACCAGAATATTGTAATCCTGCACAGCTAGATGAGATCAGATTAGCAGTTTGGTTTTAACGCTTAATTTAGTAATGCCCTTTTTTTTGCTCTCAGCACATAATTGAATCTCCACAGAATACCTTCTCCATAAATTAAATGATATTGAATTGTATCCCATACTACGGGGAATCATGCTGAACCAAATGAAATACATGTAAGAGAGAGAATTCTACAGATCAAACACATGGATAGTTGGTAAATGTACTACAGTGAGGGGAGACAAATGTTTTATTTCTTTGTGTTTTGTTGTTCATTTGATTTTTTTTTTTTAAGAAAAAAGGATAATGATGAAAGTTGATAATTTTCTATCAATTTCTCATGTATATTGCAGACAAGATAAATATAGCAAAATGAAAATAGAATGATAGTGTAAATACCTGTGAATTGTGCCACTGTCAAATAGGCAACAGTAGAATATTTGCTATGGTAATTTATAATGTATAATTCAAGTAAAATGTTAGAGCAAACATTTGTGATGTTTGTATATATAAGCCAAAATCCAAAATCTTACTGGTTTTAGAAAATTATGTGCTAGTAGAAGCTAGAAGAGTTGCTTAGGTTAATGCATTGTCTCTTTTTCTGTTTCCTAAAATAGAGATACTCACCAACATAACGTGGTTTTTAGAATGAGAATTCTAACCATTTGAACAGACATGCCTTATAGTCAGATTTATTTTCTTCTAAAATTGATATTTACAAGTCAGATTATCTGCAACACTTCCCCTGAATTTGCTTATAATGCTGTATAGCTTCATGTGCGAAACAATTAGTATTAAAAATGCCTTTCTTGAAGCTCCAAGATGTACTTAAATTGCACAGCTAAAGGTAAAGGAATTCCTCATTTAAAAGAAAACCAATTGATGTGGTCATCATTAGAATATTCTCAGAAACAAAGAACATTTCTGTTTCTGTTTTGCTTTCTTACTGCCGTTCATTTGTGTCTTGTTTCCATATAGAAAATTACCTAGTTTTCAAAGGCAGCACAGTTTCATTTTTTTCAGTGCACTGGGGACAAAAAACAATGCAAGATGGATGCTGGCAGGTTTCAGGAAACAAACAAACGTCAAAAAAAAACACCTTACAAATATGTTTAGAAAGTACATATCTTCCCACCTGTCAGCTTTATTTAAAAGAAATATTTCATTCTACCTGCCTCAGAAAGGAGAATAAGGAAGTTCTGTATGTGTGTGGAATAGATTATTGGGCCAAATCTAATAATAATGATTGTTACTTAAAAAAATATATATGTATACATTGTATATGCCATAGTTTCAGTGTTCAGTGCATTTTGCTCTGATGATATTCCTTTTTAAATGTTAAAAAAAAAAAAGCCCACTAATATAACATTACTAAGTCTATGTTCAGAGTATAGTTTTCTTTCATGAAAAATATCCAAAAAATCATAGCCATTCTGCCATTGAAATGTTATTATGGAAAGTTCCATCCTAATTAGAAAGAATTTTTAAATTCACATATTTAGTCAATACAGGAGAAATTAATTATGCTGTAATTTTCGCATGTATAAAATTTATGGCAGTTGCCATTGCTGAATCAGGCTGGTTTTAAGTCATAAAAATAATAATTGCCAAGCACAGTAGAATATGCATGACCTGATGTCTAACTGGAAAATTCGGAGCAGCTTATTGAAGTAAATTGAAATAGGATTGATTAGTCTATGAAAGTTGGATTAGAGACTGGACAACTTAGTATTTTGCATAAATTCTGATCATTTGAATTTTTCTCTCTGGTCTCCCACTATCCATTTTAACAGGTAAATATATTAACTTCCTTTTTTTAATGTGCTTATTATTTTTTGTTCAACTTTAAGCCTTTCTTCAGTGAAAAAGCTATACATACTGCAATGAAGCCAAATATATATTTTTAATGTAAACTCTGTATGTATTTAGATGCGTATGTATGTTGTGCATAAATTCCAGGATTATATTCTGTGAGTTACAGCATCAGATGGTAGCACTGGTAGCAAGTATAATGTTCTTTTTCATATGCCATTTTTAAGTTGTCTTTAGTGCATCACAGTAAAATCGGGATGAGACTCTGACGTACAGTCCAGTAGTGCAAGATCTCC